TTTGGATGTTATAGATAATAGCAAAAAATTATCTTTCTAAGTTATTTTATAATGAATTCCAAAGTGTTTGGGCAAAGTTCTCTATCATAATTCTGGTTTGAGGGTTAAAATCAATGTGATGAAACTGGTAAAATAGAGAAAATGGTAAATAATAGAAAGTATAGAATATTTATGTTCAAAATTTGATTCTGTTCATAAATTCATAACTATTGGTTAACTGTTTTGATGCATTGAGTTACAAGCTTATGTGTGAAGGGCTACTGACCAGTGATGTTTTGTAAAAAAAAAAAAAGAAAAAAGTTCCCTTTCATTTTCATTAACTTGAATATTAATAATGACTAAGAGCAGTCCTGTTTGCAACTCACATCCAAATATAGAGTACAAATAAATGCCATATCTTGAGGTTATCTTGAGATGATTTCAGGGCTTTAGTGTCCCCGCGGCTCGGTCCTCGACCAGGCCTCCACCCCCAGGAAGCAGCCCGTGACAGCTGACTAACACCCAGGTACCTATTTTACTGCTAGGTAACAGGGGCATAGGGTGAAAGAAACTCTGCCCATTGTTTCTCGCCGGCGTCTGGGATCGAACCCAGGATCACAAGTCCAGCGTGCTGTCCGCTCGGCCGACTGGCTCCCCCCATGCAGCAGTTGTTTTTCCTGTTTGCTTCACAACTCCTAAAGTTTTCAACATTTTCTTGAAATTGGTGTTCACTTCCATCCACTGTCCAAATTCAATTTTTCAAAATGGTTCACCATTCTGAAATTTAATTATGCAGTAAAATAGGTAATTGCTGTCAGTGATTTGCATTATATTTGTTATGCATATTAACAAACATTGTTAATACATATACAGTAAATGTATATACGCAATAAAGTTAGAAAAGCGTGATGTGTCTGGGGAAAATACTGAAGCTATACGTGTACCAGGGAAGTGCAGGGAAGCAGGTTGGATTCCATTGAATGGCCCCAATATTCTTTCGTGTAAAATGTATATACTGTATTTGCAGTTGCCTTGCATCATCTCACACAAATGTATAACAATTCTGTAGTAATGTGCATAATTTACAAACATCATCAAATTTAGTCAAAATTACAAGAATACTGTATCTGTAAATATCATTCTCTGTTGGTTCTGTTTCCACACATTTGTAGTGAATATTTGATGTGATTTTCATCCTGTGTTTACTACCTTTTATTATTGTTCATCAAAGTGTAAACCCTATTTTGTGCAACCCTAATCAAACCAGTGTCATTTATTATTGCATTTTGTGTAATTACTGTATACCACAACTGTTGTACACTGTATGTTATTTTTCCTTGTGATTTGACTCCTACTGACCCCATTTTTGTCCCTTTTGATGCCACCTTTGTCCTTACCATTGTCTTGTGTCTGGTGCTTTGCATCTGGTGATAATATAACTATTAACATTAGAAACTTTATTGTAAGAACTTCCACCTATTTTTATAATAATGGCTAGACTAAACAGATTGTTCATATTTCTTTGTCTTGTTATTCCTACTGAACATCTTGATGCATTTGTTACATACCTTGTTTTGCATAATTCTTAGAGACATTAAGTTTATATCCTATGGTATTTGGCCGAGATCCCAGTAGTGCTGTTATGATCCTACGGTATTGTGGCCGAGATCCCAGTAGTGCTGTTATGACCCTACGGTATTGTGGCCGAGATCCCAGTAGTGCTGTTATGACCCTACGGTATTGTGGCCGAGATCCCAGTAGTGCTGTTATGATCCTACGGTATTGTGGCCGAGATCCCAGTAGTGCTGTTATGACCCTACGGTATTGTGGCCGAGATCCCAGTAGTGCTGTTATGACCCTACGGTATTGTGGCCGAGATCCCAGTAGTGCTGTTATGACCCTACGGTATTGTGGCCGAGATCCCAGTAGTGCTGTTATGATCCTAAGGTATTGTGGCCGAGATCCCAGTAGTGCTGTTATGACCCTACGGTATTGTGGCCGAGATCCCAGTAGTGCTGTTATGATCCTACGGTATTGTGGCCGAGATCCCAGTAGTGCTGTTGTGATCCTACGGTATTGTGGCCGAGATCCCGGTAGTGCTGTTATGACCCTACGGTATTGTGGCCGAGATCTCAGTAGTGCCATAATGATCCTATAGTACATTGGCTGAGATCCCAGTAGTGCCATAATGATCCTATAGTACATTGGCTGAGATCCCAGTAGTGCCATAATGATCCTATAGTACATTGGCTGAGATCCCAGTAGGGCCATATAAAGCAACTTCTGATGGCTTTTGTGACTTTTGATTGGGAGTGAATAAATTTCTTCAGGTGTAAAGGAAATTAACCAAATTTAATTTAAAACTGTCTGCTCTTTTGACAAGTTCTTTGAATTATTGACTGTGAAATCTTTGAAAACCAAACAAAATTATTTGGAACAGGATAATTACAAAAAAAAATTGAGGATGGTCACAATTTGTAAGTGATTGTAACTTATTGTACTCCCACCAGAGAGGAAGAAGCCCCAGGGGTGGAAGCTTGATGTAATAATCCACTCTAATCAGTTTTATCACTTTTAACAAGTCTGATAGCTGCTGGTTTTAATAATATGGTGTATCTTTTTCTAATTTATCATATCAAACTGCTGTTAAAACATTTACATGCATATCTTCATATTAAAAGTTATCCAATTTGTCAGTGCTTGCCTGTAGTAATAAATCATAGGGTTGAGCTAATTGTTGTATGGGAACTTAACATGGATAATAACTTAATTATTGTAGAATATCCATAGATATGCAGTGGACAACTTCAAACGCACAATTCTTTAACCCTTGGACAGCGGCTATGGTCATACATTGTGCTGTTTGCATAATGTATGCATTGTGTAATATATATATACATTGTGCTCATGCACAAAACAATTACAAATTAAAACATAATTTATCATTATAGAAGTATTATTTTGTATGAAGAATATAAGAAAAACACGAAAATAAGTGAATATTTATCGTATCACTGGGTGGAGGCACTCGGCAAGGCTGTGTCTAGCACTTGTCAACGCCTGGTGACTTTGCTGACACTTCCCGATGACATTTTCTGATGTTTCACTGATTTTTTTTCACTTATCTTTATTTACATCCTCAGAGAGCTTTTATATTCATATCTGCATCATACATGTAAAACCCAGACAATAATTGTTTAGATCATCATAGGATGGTGACTGCATTCCTCTAGTAACATTCATGACGATAACTGAATTTAAACCATGAAATGGTAGCAACGTATTTTTCATGGGTCAAAGTAAACTCTCCTTACATCTACATAGCACTATTATATCTATATTTGCTTTTTATGTGTAAAACCCAGATGATAAATTGTTAAATCTTCATATGATAACTGCATTATCCTGTGAATCAACAATTGACGATAACCGCAGGCAAAGGGTTAAATTCATTTGAACCTAATCTTGTGGTATTCATTTGGTTTCATAGTTTTAATACAGTAGATGCCCTCTGTGATGTATCTATCAAATCTATCACTGTATTAAATCAATCATGACATAAAAATATGCCTAGTCCCAGTGATCCAAATTCGTAATCACATTTTAGTTGGCAGCCAACTAGTTGCATTATCATAGAATCCAAACTTTTTTCTTTATTATTGCCATGAAGCTACAGTTTTCAAATTATAATGCTTAGCAGGCAGGGACATATGCCACTGCAGATGATGATGACAACTAAGATCGATATGTGTTATCTGCTTAGCAGGTTACCACATCCTCAGTAATATTTAGCGCCCTCTGATTATTCCGCACATTTGATAGTTCTGTACTACATAGCCTTCCCAGCTTGGTGCCGCCTTTAATACTTAACAGGTTACCAAGTTCAGTCACCTTTTGCAGTGTTATACTATTCTATTGAACACTTCTTATTCTGGTGTTTGAACTAATTGATATTGACTAATGAAATGGCATTCATAATTTTGAGGATTTCGATCTGGAATGGATTGGCAAATAATGCAGATCTCATAAAAATTGTGATTGCAAACATGTAAGGACACCACATTTGATAACATTATGCTTTAGAAAATTTGTTAGACATTAATGACATTTTTGAGTTATACTATCTAGTTGTTCTCAAAGGCAAAGAACATTTCAGTATCGCTAGAATTCTATGCCTAGTCTTGGCAAGATGCCAGTTATTTATCCCCATTGGGCCATACTGATGTTAGAGAGACACTGGAGACTCCTCCAGTCTCTCCCAACAAGGTAACTTCAAAATTCATGACTTAAGCTCTACGTTAAAATAAATCATTTGCTGAGCAATGTTTAAACTGGTGAGAGTCTGCTGAGAAATTAGAATAATGCTAAATTTAAGCCATTGATGTAAAAATATAAACATTACAGATTTGCCAACAAATTAGGAAGAATTTGCAGGCGATGAGTCATAATAACGTGGCTAAAGTATGATGACCAGACCACACACTAGAATGTGAAGGGACGACGACGTTTTGGTCCGTCCTGGACCATTCTCAAGTCGATGAGGAAGAATTTGTGGGTTTTAACCCCTATCGCTGCGTATTTACACAGTGCACATGGTTCCTTAGGATTGTAATGTTTAGATATTTGTAATACTATTCTATTTTGAAGATTGTCCACTGTTTATTGAAAGGTCCATTATACATTTTACATTACAATCATACATACATATATATATAAATACATAGTATATAGATTATATAATATATTTAGACTAATGAACTTGTAAAAGTTGATGCCAGACTTAAAATTATAAACTAATTTTATTTTTAAGCAAAGAAATATGTATGTTTATTATTGATTGAAGTTTCATTTAAAAAATATATATTAAATGAATATAGCATATTTATATTAGCATAAAGTTGCTCTTTAATGTGTAGGTGATGAAAAGGCTATGAATGTCTAAACAGCATCAATTTCTCTTGTATATCTCTCACAATTAATAACTATACAGTATCACAAAACCTAAGTCTTTCTTCTCATAGGTGTGTTTTTGATGGACCACATGAACAGTAATGATGACAACTTGAGTGGCTCCTCTCCGCGCGGTAACAAAAAACTATCCTTCAAGACGCCGCGTAAGACCTCGGCTGCTGGTCCCTCAGCTGGAGCAGCGACAACCCCACCCGAGAGCCCCATGCCGCCGCCACGTAGGCCAAAGGACAGTGTTCATCATGCAACGCCACGAAACAAGTAGCCACTGTAGGAGCCTCCACTCACAACTGAGGTTTATTAATGGTTTGTTTACAGTCGTGTGGCGTGCTGTGGTATTCAATAACTGCTTTATATACGTTATAAGATATGCTGATATTGTTTCGTAGAACAAATTCTCCCTTTATAGTTTTTTTGTTCATTCACATCCACTGCCAGACAAAAGCAACCCATATATAATACATTTATGGTAAATATTCACTCATGGCTTAATGACATTTATAGAGTAATGAAATCTAATACTTTGCAGAGTAAACAAATAAACATGTTTTAAGAGATTTCTCCACCGTAAAATCTAGTCAAAAGTTTCATGTGCAAATTGCTACTAGAAAATGGAAATGAGATAATGTTTTAGTGCTCATATTTTTGTAGTTATTTGAATGCACACACATTCATCTACATTTGTATGCACACGCATTCATCTACATTACACATACAAATTCCCCCTTTTCCTCTCTCCCACCCTCTCTCCCTCCCACCCTCTCTTTCCTTTCCCCCCAACCTTCTCAGAAAATTTAGTATTACAAACACCTGTAAAAGCTAAAAAGTTCTATAGAAAAACGAAGGCCTGATTTCAGACTTCCTGAAAAGTGAAGGGATGGGGGATCACTATATATGCTAATATTTCTTATCGGCTGGCACTAGAGCTGACTCTGGCTGGCCTATAATGTTCCCATTACCCCCTCCCCCATGTATCATCTTGAAAAGTTGGATGAGGCAAGCCACAAGTATAATGGCCGCTTACTTTGGATGGACAGACAACAGATCAAATACACTGATAGACACTCTCTTTTATAAATATACTATTGTACAGGCTCCACCCCAAATCTCTTCCCCTCTTCCTTCCCTCTCCACCCTCTCTCCTCCTCTCCTCTCTTCCTCCTTCCCTCTCTCCCTCTTTCTCACCCCCCTCTCTCCTCCCTTCCTCTCCCTCAGCCCATCTTCTCAAGTCATCACAATAGACAGAAAATGGTGTACTAAAACGATGGGACCTAGCCTATGGACCGTGCATGGAAAACGTGAATATTTGTGACCCACTGATTTATTGTACCCCATTATTTGTCTATTTGGGATTTTGATGTCAAAATGTTATGCGAGAGGAAGGGTTGCTCCCTCTCCTTTTTCCCCCCTCTCTCTCCCCCTTTCTCCCCCTTTCTCCCTTCTCTCTCTCCCCCTTTCTCCCTTCTCTCTCCCCCCTTTCTCTCTTCTCTTTCTCTCTCCCCCCTTTCTCTCTTCTCTTTCTCTCTTCTTTCTCTCTCCCCCTTTCTCTCTTCTCTCTCTCTCTCCCCCCCCTTTTCTCCCTTCTTTCTCTCCCCCATCTCTCCCCCATCTCTCACTCATTGGCCTCTAACACATACCCTCATGTTTCAAATAGGCACTTTACCTTTTAAACTTATCAATCTACGTTCTTAAAAAAAAATCAGCACTTTAGTATATTGTCACTTATACATCATATCTCATTTTTATATTTCTAACATTAAATTGCTTGTCTTTTGTGCTAAGCTCATGTATCTGATCATTATTTTCTTATAAATTTTGTTGAATGGTATCTCTTTCTCTACTGAGACTAATGTAACACTTGCCACATTCTTCTCATTTCCTTCCCACCTCATTACTCGTGCTTTCTTCACATTTCCTGTATATTGTTTGTCCATTTTTAACGTTTCAATTCTCATTACTGTACATCTATACTCCAAACTCCATATCTACATAAAAGAAAAATTATGAATGCAGTAATTGTTCACTTTAGGATACATCTCCTGTTTCTAATGCATCTATTCTTGTGCAGTATTTCACTGAAATTCTTTTGTTTCTTAATGATACCTCCAAAAATCCTTTGCTCTTACCTCTAATGGGTTTTCTCATTATTCTTGTATCACAGTACTGTACTGTATTGTCATGTTCATAACATTATTGTGCGTAAAACTTCAATCATCTTTATGTGAGTTGCAATTTTCCTAACCTGGCATGCGGAATCCACTCACTGAGGTACTCCAGTTGTCTTTCAGTGCATGATTTCTCTTTCTGCCACTATTGGTGTTTGTTGTCAAACCTATTACTGCTTCCCCTTGTCAATTTGTAAAGCTAACGGCTTTCATGGTGTCAAAGACTTCTTATACCGCTTCTGTCATTTTGGGTCACATAAACAGCCTTTATAGCATGGCATACATTGTTGCTCTACTTCAACTTGATGCACAACCTCTATTTAAATGAGCCTTAAATTATATTAATCAGTCCATCATTTTTTTTTAACAAACCCCCATTACTACTGTCATAGCTTTATTTACCCATTGTGTACTGCCTTATAGCATTTCACTATTCTTTTCTGATGTAAATTTTGCTTGAAAAGTGTTTGTTTATTTAATAATTGTGTAATCATGGGCAAGAGGTGCACTAATTAAGGCAAGTTATTTGGAAAGTTTCAGCTTCTTTCTTTTACCTTGTTGAGAGTAGAGAAAGATTGATGGGTACATGTATACAAATGTCTAGTTCACGAAAAAGAAAAACATCATTTGAAATTGCATAGTCTAGACCATTTGAAATTTGATTATGGATATGCTTATAAGGAAAAGGAGCGATAAAGTTGTCAGGAGAAGGAAACAAACTTTCAAAGTAGCCTTCTTAGCTTGGTGTTGTGACTGGCTCCTCTTATGAGACATACATGTGAGACACCTGAGGCAGACTGAACCGTTTGAATGCTATTTACAGTACTTATATTATTGTAATCATCCTTTGCCTTAATACATTTTACTGAAGCTTCAAACTAATACAGTAGTGCTCTTATAATCAAGCTTCTATTGCTGCTTATATAACTTCATAACAGCAGCTTAATTTTGTGAGTTTATATTTTTACACTACCTATCAACTGCTCAGACATCTAATAATTATTTAGTTTAAATAATTATCGTCATTTAGAGTCACTAGGTAAAGTTGTTTTTCGGTTCACTTGCCCTGTTGATGTTCACATGAGGTTTATAATGTCATGCGACAGACAGAATCCTTATTTCTCACTTATAACTTGCTTAATATTTCATTGATACTGGGTATGTAGGGACAGAATACAGTAGTTGCTGTTTAGAGATTAAAAATATAAATCATTCTAAAGTTCAACATTGATAGTAAAGATGTCTCAGTCTTTGTGGAGTGTTGTAATTAGAGGTATCTGGAAGTGTAGGATCGTGAGTGCTTCCCTGTATATATGGGAGAACTTTGCTGGCATTTTGAATTGTCCTTGTGCTTACTTGTAACTGGCAGGCTGTTTCTCTCATTCTTTTAGTGTCCTTTACTTTAGTACACTATTCTGTCTTAACATTGTTCCCACAATATGCCAGGCTATTTTAAGTGAGAGTGGTAGTTACTGAATAAGATAAATTTTTGTTTAATCTTTCTCCATTCTCAACTGTGTAGGGTGAGGCAACTTCATATTGCCTCAATCAGAAAGAACATTAGAAACATTGCCACCACCAAATGTTATTGTAGTGGGGCTGTAGATGAATTTATCCACAGCTTGTACTGAACAATAGTGAGTCACGCCACATGCAGATTGTTTGGAATTTCGCTTGTGATTTTCAGTTAAAATACTTTACACTGTGTTTTGTTCTTAACTACTCAGTGAAACACTTGCTATCCTCATGTGCATAAACAATAAATTTGTATGTTCTTTGTTGACCAAACCACACACTAGAAAGTGAAGGGACGACAACGTTTTGGCCCATCCTGGACCATTCTCAAATCCATTGTGCACAAGGACAAGTCAATTGTGCACAATCAACTTGAGAATGGTCCAGGACGGGCCGAAATGTCGTCGTCCCTTCACTTTCTAGTGTGTGGTCTGGTCAACATATTTCAGCCACGTTATTGTGACTCCTCGTCTGTGTGATCTTTTTTTTTACATGCTTATTGTATCCACTAACCTTTATTTCTATTTCTGTAAATGGCTTTGTTAATCATGGCATTCATCATACATTTCACCTGTCTCTTCTCTCTTAGTAAGTACTCTTTCATTTTGAATGGAATCACAAATATTATATTTGTTAATGCCAAACATCAGTGATTGGAAGGTCAGAATGTAATGTTTACATCATGATTTGACCATTTATGTGAATTATTCAATGTTTAGCCCTCTTCATAAATTAAAGAAAATATGGATTGCGCTGCAAATTCATGTGTCTGGAATTGTGGGTGTGCTTTTTGACCATGTATCATTCTTCAGGGAGCAAACCAAAATATCTTATTACTTCAGCATTTATCATGGTGAAATGGGTATTGGACAGTTTAAGAATAAAATGTCCTTATACTGGATTATTTTCGGGAAGCTCAAATGTCAGTTCTATTCAGATATTTCAGTCTTAGGTCAGTATTGTTAACACCAAATCTTGATCAAAGTAAATAAAAATTCTCCTAAGTTAATCATTTTGCTTAGACCGAAGTGACTTTCATGTTATATAGTACTGATACAGTGTGTATAGACGAGTTTCATAAAATGCACATTCTTAACTATGATGCTCTCCATTGCTATAGGATGTATGTGTCCGTTAAGAGGCCGTGGACACTGTTGTTAAAAGTTATTTGAGGTGACATTTATTCATGGTTGATTATGATGCATTTTTACTTTAACCTGAGAAAACTTCCTGGCCAGATATTTTTTGTAATTTTTTATTTGTTTATTTCACATTTGTTCACTAATAAATGTTTTAAAAATCTTAATTGACTGCAAAACTAACAAAACATGCAACAAGCAAAACACATTAAATATTGCACATTCAGAATATGTCAGTGTTTAATGTAGATTTTTAGACTTTCTGAATCAGAGTCAATTTTGTTTCTAAAAGCACTCTGACTCTAGACTAAAATGGGTTTATGGATATATTGAACCATGTGAACTAATGTTTTACAAAATTTACAATATCGGGTCAGGTAGTATATTTTATTAATAACACTGTTAATATATTTATTTTTATTGGTTAAGTAAAAATAATAACATGGGTATTTTTCCCCCTGGGTTATTGCCAATATTGCTTGATTATTGATATAGAAGGAAGCTAGCTTGTGATAATAATATGGCTTTCCTTATAGGTCAAACTTTTTGCATACTGTACATCTAAACATGTGTTGTTCCCTATGCAGTGTGTGATAAAGATCCTTACACTTGTGTGAATGCAAGCCTTGATTCCATACCACTTCTGGAATATCATCCATGGGGTGGATATGTTGGAACTTGTTCATGTGAGATATTGAGGCTTATAATTTTTGCTGATTTGAATTAGAAAACTGAGCATTAGTGATCATGTGGAAATAGCTGTTGAATATATTCTCGTGTATGGTATATGCAAACTGGCATACACTGTTGCTTGTGCATTTGTGACTTCTGTTTGTATATAAACACTTGCATATCTTGATAAACACAACTACTCATAGGATCACATGGATGCATTAAAGAGTATCACAAACCTTGAATTTATTTGCAAACATTAAAACGATAATAATATATTACTGTATTCAGTTCAGTTATGGAAAGTATAACCAAGGAAGAGAATTTGGAATATTGTCGGCAAAATAGGTAAGTTTTATGAATTCAATGTCTGGTAAATTGCATATAACCTGCATATGCATTTAAATATCATTGTGAAGCAAATAGTAAACTTCAGTAAATGCAGTGCTGAATGATGTGTGTTTTTCAGTATACGAGTATTTTTATACCCCAGTATTATGAAGCGGTGACATCAGATCAAGGCCAGTGCAGAAGTTAACTTCGTTGTTTTGAAGCAGTGACGTCAGATCAAGGCCAATGCAGAATTTAACTTCTGGTTTAATTATAAATCACTTTTATCTGCCTAAGATGTACTGTATATGATGCCTTAGACTCTAAACTATTTGTGTTTATCATCATTACCTTTCATTGTGTAAAATTTAAAAATAACATTTTCTTTAATTCTTCTGTAAAGTATTGCCAGTTTTCATTTCTCATATGTTTAAGGAGGCAGCAAATATATAGCTCCCAGATTTATCAACGATAAGAATTTAAAAAATTCAAAGCAACATTAAACATTTTGAATTCATTCTTAGAATTTTTGTAAAAATTTAGTGCACAAAATGCCTGAGAGTTGTAAATGGCCTGCATAATATATGGAATGTAATGGTTTGGCTCATACTCTTATGTTTTGCTGTGTTCTTGTATAGTATTCAAATATCATTGAAAC